TATGTGCTGCAGAACAGGAACCTGCTGYAAAACAGCAATTATGCTGAGTCAGGCTTGATTTTTAGTAATCTTTTCCAGTTAAATCAATAAATCAAATCAAATCAAAACAAATCAAGTGAATTTGTGCATTTTTAAAGGTACTCATTGGAAAGTATGAAAACAAATATGAAAAGGTTCTTTTGAACCATATCAATTTTACTCCAGTAGTTTTCAAGAYTGTCCATTGAATGTGATTCTGACATGTGGGTCCATACTCATCGTAAACAAAGGACTCAGACAAATCTTACATCAGTACTTTAAACAAAGCGTTACACAAGAATGCAATCATTTGCGCACTGGAAAACTTTCTCTTTAAAATAAATAAAAACCAAAACAAGTAACAACCAATCAAGTCCCTCAGCTCATTCGTATAAAAATGGATGAACATTTTGCTCTGCTGAAGGTTGTGGGAGTCTTTGCTTATTATCAGCTATGATACCGACCCTGAAGAACTTCATCACTGTAAATATTTATATAAAAGGACATACGTAAATCTGCTGACTACAGCATTTTGTGCCTACATTTACTTTTCAAATGTTTCAAGCTGCACTAATTCATCAYAACAAARAAAAAACATTTATAAAAAAAGATAATTCATCAGTACAGAATTTGAACAATATGGCCTTAAAATGAGCTTATCTATGMGCCATCTGTTAGGGCTGATTGCTTWTGTTTAAGCAGAAACACTTCTGAGTGCAAACCTCAGTCTGAAAAACTAAGAACTGAATCATAAAACCAAGTTCAAACTCGCAGAAAGGGTGAGCAAGAGTAAACAAAACTGGTTGATAGACTCACTGAGGGGAATTGCATTAATCATCTKCTCTTAAATGTCAACAAGACCGGTGAGATGATGGTGAACATTAGGAGGATATGACCAAGACCTGAACATCAGAGGACATTAACACTGCAGGTTTAGAAAGCTGCAAGCACTCAGATTTGAACCTGAGCAACAGACCAGCCCGGAGGTCCAACACTAGAGGAGAGAATAAGCAGACTCAGASCATTTATTTTCTGCAGCAAAATATTGAAGATCTTCTGTATGTAATGGTAAGGACCCACACACACTGGTGTGAGCTGGGGCCAGAGTCAGGGGTGCCAGCAGGCTCAATAAACTCCTTCATAAAGCGGGATAAATCATTGGTGTGAACCTCCGGATGATTAAGTCAGGGAGGGACAGGAGGTCATTGGACAAATGGCTATTTTTCACAACTTTATGATGTTTTACARAGACAGGAGACCTCATTCTCCAGCTGGCTCATTTACTCTCTGCTGTCATGAAGAAAGCTGCAGAAAATAAGTCCTGTCATTCACAGTAACTGTACCAAGAAAAAAAAAATTCTATCTAATTTATCTTAGGGGAAAAAAATTGAAGCAAAGTTCAGGTCAGGTCAGAGACATGTAAAAGAAAGAGCTGCATTTAGTTTTTTATTGTAGTACTGTAAGTAAAATAAAATGTAATATGAGTGGTTATTTTGTTATTAGTTTTATTTTTTTGTATTGTTGGGGATAAGAGTAAGCCAATGTTTTCATGTAGAGAGCATCAGGGCTACAATGCTTTCTGGTGTGAAGATGGAGAGTAGGTCAGCATTTGAAGACCTTATAGGTTGTAGGTTGTTTGGATTTTCCACCAGGGGTGCACTGTAATGGTGAAGGAGGTCAAAGGGGTTACTGAGGGAGCATGGTAATGGATCGATTTGCAGGAAGAATGAGAGTTTCGCAATAGATTCAAAGCCACTGGAGTTGAATAAAGGTTGGGGAGATGTGCTGCCAGGGTTAGGTGTGGGTGAACCCTGGCAGCGCTCTGTTTGAAAAAACTAGAGTTTTTTCCAGGGTTTTATCAAGTACCTCAAAAGACTGCATTGCAGTAGGCGAGACTGTTGTGTATAAGGTTCACAGAGATGGAAAGGATGGCCAGAGTCTAAAGATGTTTTTTGAGATGGAATTACCGTATTTATTCATGTATAATACGATCTCATGTATAAAACGACCCCCCCACCTTTTTGAGCTTAAAAAGCATAAAAGATTTAATCCTCAAACTACCTCCAATTTCATAGACTTAAAGATTTTTCAGCCTTTGTAGTCTTTATACATATCAGTAAAATGATCATTGGACTGTTCATTTTATTTTAACAACATATGTACTAAAAGGTATTTTGACAACAATAAATATATCAGCTGTTGCAGCATCATATGAATTCTGACATTTTACATAGTCCACCAGGATGCGCCAACACAAAAGTCAGAGGCTTTTAGGCCATCTTGTGGGGGAAAAGCTGATTACTTCCTACTCACGAGCACCCCCTCTGGTGGGGAAACTTTTTTTTTCAGCGATACAAACTTTTTCAGAACACCAGTAGACGGCAGCCATTACAGACGAACATGCGTTTGTTGTTGTTCCAGCAGCAGCCCGGTCACACGCTAATGACATTAGTTCACTATCATTACTAAGGTGCAGGACTGCCTTTTTTTCTTTTTTTTTTTTCTTTTACATCATGTCACCTGCCTGGATTTGGTACTATCTTGCTCTGAAGCACGTAGGAGTGTCAGAGGTAAGCTTGCTTCAACTGCTTTTTTACGTCGTGGTCTCATTTCCGGACTCAGGCATTTTGGGAATTAAGCCGCTGGCTGTGTCTCAATTCAGGGGCTGGGTCCTCATGAGTGCGCATTTGTCGGCCGCATACGTCATTGCCCCGCGCGGAGGACTGTCCCAATTCGAAGGCTCCTCATCATGCGGCCGAGGAATGCGTCCTACTTCCTGTCGAAATCCGAGGATGCGTCCATGTATCCTTACCAGCCGAGGATATCCCAGGATTCAATGCACGGGCAGCAAAATAATCTGAGAAATGAAGACTGTGGTGTTTTTATTTTTTTAACGTGTCGGCGAAGTTTGGAAATTCACCACGGCCCGAAGGATTTGTTTTTTAAAAGTAAGTTTAGCAACTTAGCTGATGAAATTTATGCTGCAATAAGATGTTAAATAAAAGAAAATGCAACTACAAGTTACGAGAATAAAGTATTATAAGAATAAAATCATAACATTAYGAGAATATTATGTATTTCAGTTAAAATACAGAAGCAAAAATATTTATCCGCGTATAGTACTACCCCCCAACTTTATGGATGATTTTATGGATTTAATTTTACGTATTATACTTGAATAAATACAGTAAGTAAATTTGGTGATTCATTTGGGTGGGGTATTTTTATTTATTTTATTTTACTRTTATTTGTCCAGACAAATCCCATTGACATTGCAGATCTCTTTTGCAAGGTAAAACCGGAAGTACCTGGAGAAAACCCAKGCAAGCACTTCTTGYTGTGAGGCAGCAGTGCAAACCACTGACCCATCGTGCAACATAGTAAAGTTCCACACCACAATCAAGTAGCTTCAGTTGTTATTTAAATGCTGTATATATTATACATATAAATTTAATTTGACCTTGCATCATCTTTGAAATTGGCCTTTGTATCTTTATGAACCTCCTGCCTTTTCTGACACTCCCACTTCAGCATATCTTTACCAAAATATGCTTCAGGGGAGGGGTTCTCTRTGGTGTGGGATCTCAGCTGGAGACTGATCTCCAGGGAGGAACTACTATAGGTGGTGCTTTGTACCAGCAAAAGTTTAGGCAGCTCCAAACAGCTACCTCAGGAGATTCAAGAAAGTCAATTTTGCATAATACCCTTAAAGAAAACATTTCTAAACATCCTAAATGAAATAATGGTCAAAATACTGAAGTTTGTTAACTTGATTTCAATTAATTTCTTGTAAAAAAATACTATTGCAATTTGGGAAAAGGCAGCCTATCAYCCTGATGAGCCTTTTTAAATAAATTCTGTACAAATCCAACTCAGAGAGGCTTTGAAGCTTTCCGCAACATACCCAATAAAAGCAAAACCTAAAATCACACAGCAATCAATTATGAAAGCAATCAAAATTTTGAATGTTTTCAAGCATTTGAYCTAAAATCTCAAGTCTTGAAATTACCAAAGCAAAATTCAAGCATTTTTGAGGGAATGAACTTTTAACATGATATAAAGCTCAAARAAGTCGATTTTGCATATTCACCACCCTCTTAATGTGTGACTCAGAGAAGAAGTGACGTCCAGAATGATGCAGAGGTTGTAAACATCAGAGGACAGGCAGATGGAGAACACTTAATGCAAAATCAGATCCCCAGATCTCCAGCATTCTAGTCACACATTTCGAATCACAACCAGTTTTACTGCTGTTCAGTGAAAATATTTGTCAACATTCAGGTTTTGATGACACACAGCTTCATTAGTGGAGGAGGGTAATGGGCTTTAATTTCATGTAAACCCCTACCCCTATGTTATACTAATTTTAAACAAAAAAATGAGTGTATTTCTAGTTTAGTTTTTAGCTACCTTTAGCTACCGATATTTATAATTTTAGCATCTAATTTGAAAATTTGTCTGGAGATTAGATAATTAGCTAAATATATGCTACATTTAGTAAGCCAGATTCTAAAATTAGCAAACTAGATAATAAATTTTGCAAATCGATGCTAAAATTCAGGTTTTTCGGCAATCTAGATCCGAAGTGGTGATTTTAAAAATAATGCAGTTCTTGGCAGAAGGTCAGACTGGTTCCTCRGTGCGAGCTGGAMTCCACCAGGGCTGCTCCTGATCCTGTTGTGGTATCCATGGACGGGATCTCAASGTGCAGTCGTGAAGAGGASGATGTCTRAGTGTCATCTCTGCTTTTTRTACAWGGTTCTGCTGACGTCTTCAAACCAAGACCTTCAGCRTRCACAGACCAAAAACCAGAGTGGTACTACACACAGCTGCTGTAAAAATATACTTTATCAATATACTTTATTATTCTGTGCTGCCATGGAGGGAATGAACACAGCTCAGAATATGATTTTYGGGAATATTTATATTTACACATAGGACTCACTTTACAACATGTTTTGGTTAYTGGGTTAAACCTTTGAGGCAATGAGACTCTAAAACAAGTCAGAGTGACTTTTTATCTGCAAAACTATTCCAGTCCATATGGTTCTAAATGAGATATCACAATTGTGAATAATAAGTTACACTACGATAGGTGGGATTTTGTTTTAGTTGTGTGTAAAAAAAAAAAGAAGAAACAAAAAGGGAAGAACATAAAGATATGTTCTGATAGCTAATGAGGAGCTTCAGGACATTTCAGGGTCAGTCCAGAATGAGAATCCAGCTCCAGTTTGTCTCAGTAGCCTTCATTGTCCCAGGTCACCTCATAGTCCGGGTACCGAGCTTTCAGTTTCTCTGTGGTCACTGCATGGTTCGCTCTTCCAAATCCCTGCCATGACAAGAAAACATGTCAACCCTTGATCACAGCATCGGAAAAGTTTTTGTTTATTATTTTTACCATGGAGTATCCGTACACGTGGATCTTCTTGGCCTGGGCGTCATGTTTGATCCTACCTCCTCCGATACACTCGCAGTCCAGGAGACCTCCTCTCTCCAGCTCCTCCGAAACCTTCTCATAGATATCAGCTGCGAAACAAAACACATGCTAAASAAAATAAAAWWAAAAAWAA